AAGCCTTGGATGGTGGCTACTCAGCCGCCCAGGGCCACCCAAGGCTCAGGTAACCAGGGCCGGCTGAGGTTTGCGCTGCCAGCAGTGGTAGCAGCAGAGGTATGATGGGGCATAGCCTTCCCCTAATCTCCGGGTCGCCTCCCATCCCTGAGGGCTCCCGGACTGTGAGAGGGGGCAGGATGGGCTGAGGGACCCCCCTCCAGTGTATGAATTTTCATGTACCGGGCCTCTAGTTTAAAAAATAAAAAAAGGTGAAATTAATTTATTAAAATTTCAACATGTAATATATTAAGAAGCTGAATTTACACTGTTTTTATACTTAGTATTAGAAATCTGGGGTTTATTTGACATTCACAGAACATAACAATTCAGTTGGTAAATTGCTTTTAACCTAATAAATAATCTGTGCAAAATACTTAAAGACTATTCACATAACCAATTTATATTTTTGAAAAAAAAAATGTTTAGCCTCAGTAATAACCAGGGAACTGCAAATTAAAGCAATAATGTAAAGCTACATCCATCAGTTTGGCAAAAATCAAAAAATACCAACTGCTGGCAGGACGGTCGAGAAAAAGTATCTATTGTATACTGCTGGTGGGAGCATAAATTAATATATCATTTTCCATTAATATATGGAAAAATTGGGCATACACACAATTGTACGCTATATGCATAAAAATACATTTAAAAACATCCATAATAGCACTGCCCATAATTGTTAAAAACTAGACACAATCCAAATGTCCATTAATATTAGATTAGTTAATTGTGGCTTATTCATAAAAAGACCACACTAGTTCTGACCCATGTTGCAAAGTGGTTAGAGCAGGGTTTCAGGTTCCATCCAGCCTGGTCAGGGCACGAGCTGGGGGAGACAACCTATGTCTGTCTGTCTGTCTGTCTCTCTTCCTCTCTTCTTCCCCTCTCTCCCTTCCTTCCACCCTTCTCCTAGCTCAGGGGTGGGCAAACTTTTTGACTCGAGGGCCACAATGGGTTCTTAAACTGGACCGGAGGGCCGGAACAAAAGCATGGATGGAGTGTTTGTGTGAACTAATATAAATTCAAAGTAAACATCATTACATAAAAGGGTATGGTCTTTTTTTTTTTTTTTTTAGTTTTATTCATTTCAAACGGGCCAGATCCGGCCCGAGGGCCATAGTTTGCCCACGGCTGCCCTAGCTCCAAAAAAAAAACAACAAAAAATTAAAATTTAAAAAAAAAAATAATAATAATCAATGTAAAAAATATCCTCTGGTGAGGATTAAAAAAAAAAATACTACCGTATACTTTTACTGTAGACTATAGACATTACTATAGAGCAATGAAAATATACATACTAAAGCTAAATGTACTAACATGGTTATATATTAATAACATGAGAGAAAATAACATAATCTATATATATAAAACCCTAATATGCAAATAGACTGAAAGGCAGAACAATCGGACTGGTCGCTATGACGTGCGCTGACCACCAGGGGACATTCGCGGAACATGGTGGGCGTTGCCAGCAGGCGGCAGAGTATGGAACATGGCAGGCATCAGCTGCGGTGAGATGGTGGAGCCGGTGAATGGGGGTGCCAGACCAAGACGGGGTGCCAATCGTGTCATCAGGGCAAGCCTCTGGTGGTTACTGAAAATTCTTTGCTCCTGCACACTGCAGTCCCACAGGGTGCTCACACCCACTGCTGGTGCCGGAGCCGCCACTCGCACCCATGGCAGGCGCTGGCCCTGATTGCCCCTCAGGGCTTCTCCACCATCCACTGCTCCTGAGAGGCAATTGGAGCTGGTAGCTGCCCCTTGCACCCGCTGTCGGCGCTGGCCCCGCTCGCATCCACTGCTGGCGCCTGGCGCCGGTACTGATTGCTAGGCGCTGTCAGCAGGTGAGAGCAGAAGCTGTTGGCCCCAGATCGTCCCTGAGGGCTTCTCCACCTCCCCCTGCTCCTGAGGGGTGATCGGGGCAGCAGCTGCCACTCACACTGCTGACAGTACCAGCCCCGCTTGCACCTGCTGCTGGCACCAGCCCCAATAGCTCCATGTGCTGTTAGTGGGTGCAAGCAGAACCGGCGCCATCAGCACGTGGGAGCATTAGCAGCGGGAGTAGGGCTGTAGGCAGACAGGGGACCGGGAGCCACGGCAGAAGGGGCTGGGCGGGGGTGCAGACGATGGGCTGAGACCCGCCCCTGTGCCCACCGCAGCCTCAAGGCCCACAGTTCCTTTCAAGGTGCACAAATTCGTGCATTGGGCCCCTTGTACATAATATGTAACTCATTTACATATAGGTAAATACAGGCAAAAATGATCTATATTAATTTAGGAATGCTGGCATAGCTAGTTAAAAAAATAGTTGAAATAAAAGTAAGACATAATTCCCATAAAATCCAAATAGTGTGAACTCTGAGAGTGGTGAGGAGGGAGGAATGATCAGGAATAGATGAGGGGTAGGAACCTGTCTCCAGGGCCAACAATGTTCTAGTTCTTGACTTTGGTAATGATTACAGAGTGTTCACTGCATTCATTAGACTGCATATCTATAATTTGTTCATTTTTGTTTATTTTACTACACAAAAAGACTTTAAAATTGTTACCTAAGGCACTTTAATTGCTTTGCAAGGTATTTTTCTGTTAAAAAGTGATAAACGTCTGGTTTTACTATATAAAAAATTTTAAGGTACAAGACTCTAGTTTTTATTTCATTTGACAAGATTACAGCAAACACAGAAAGTAGCAAGCACTAGGATATGATGCATAAATAGGGTCCACTGCTAAAACAAAATGAAGAGAAAAAGTAGTACCTTTAATTGATAGTTTACCCCAAAGGACCCATTAGAGATTAGGTAACACCAACACAAATAAATACAGTGGGGCCTTGACTTACGAGTGTCCCGACTAACTAGTTTTTCGAGATACAAGCCGTCTCTAGGCCGATTTTTTCCTTTGAGTTGCGAGCTAAAATTCGGGTTACGAGCCAGCTTCAGATACCCCACTGCTAGTTGGCGCAGCGAACATCACAGTGAACGCCACAACATCAGCCCAGCATCACGTGTCTCACTAGTTCACAACTGATTTGACATACGAGTAATTTGAGTTACGAGCTCCGTCACGGAAAGAATTAAACTCGTAAGTAAAGGCCCCACTGTATGAGAAACTTTAGATTCTTGGTCTTAATAGAAACCATAGATGGGTGATAATCTTTCAAAGTACCTTTACAAAACGCGCCAACTGAAAGACTGAAATGATTTAAGTTGTATAAAGAGAGTATGAAAAAGAAACAGTACTGTTTTATTTTAAAAAGCTTTACTAAGGCCCTGACCGGTTTGGCTCAGTGGATAGAGCATCAGCCTGCGGACTCAAGGGTCCCAGGTTCGAGTCCGGTCAAGGGCATGTACCTTGGTTGCGGGCACATCCCCAGTAGGGAGTGTGCAGGAGGCAGCTGATTGATGGTTCTCGCTCATCAATGTTTCTAACTCTCTATCCCTCTCCTTCCTCTCTGTAAAAAATCAATAAAATATATTTAAAAAAAAAAAAAAAAAAGCTTTACTAAGCCCTAACCGGTTTGGCTTGGTGGATAGGGCATCGGCCTATGGACTGAAAGGTTGCAGGTTCGATTCTGGTCAAGGGCATGTACCTTGGTTGTGGGCACATCCCCAGTAGGAGGTGTTGCAGAGGCAGCTGATGGATGTTTCTCTCTCACGGATGTTTCTAACTCTCTATCCCTCTCTCTTCCTCTCTGTAAAAAAATCAATAAAATATATATTTTTTAAAAAGCTTTACTAATGTAAATTCATGAATCCTTCCTTAAATATTTTGGAATTAATTCTGATCTTATGAGGGAAACATTATTTTCAGCAAAAATAGATAGCATTTAATTGAGAAACCAAAGGCTCTAAATCCGAGGCTAGTAACAAAACCACCACAAAACCCTTAAGATACCCATTTAAAAATTTCTCATCTACACCGCAGAAGGTGAAAACTGAGCTATGTCCCTTCTCTATCAACAGCAACACCCAATATCAAGGACTACACCATCCACCACCCCTTCCTGAGAACAGGCACAGGCGTTGTTGCAGGAGCAACGCAAGACGCGGAGAGAAATTCCACCACGGCTTCCCAGCCTGCTCGTCCTCAAAGCCCCTCCAGGATTCAAGGGCGGGTGGGAAGTCAGGGAAGCATCGCTTCCGGCCCTAGAAGTTGTGGTCATTCACACAGGGAGCTTCAGTCCCCGCACAGGTTCCCTGCTCCAAGCTGAAGCTGCGGGCACCAGTCATCTGCAGAGGCTCCGAGTCCGCTGCCCTCCTTACACCACCGAGTGCCGTCGCCACCCCGCCGCCGACCCGGCCTCACTAGGACTCCCCGCCCCACCCGGGATCCGTCGGCAGGGAGGCCAGGGGACCAGGAGCCGCCTGCTTTCTGGCCAGGCAGGCCTACACAAGCCCACCCCCCGCCCGCATTCCCAGTTTCCAGAGCCTTTCGGCCCCCCCCTCCCCCCGGCTTTAGATTGCCTTTCACCGTTGGCGCCCCTACCAGGGGCCAGCCTCCCCCAAGTTACCTCTCACAGAAAAGTCTGCCCTTACTAGGGCAGAGCGGAGATGTAGCCACAGCGGGAACCGTTCCACAGGCTTGCCTGGCACCTGGATCGGACCAGCTTCACCAGGTGCTGCTAAGGAGACACCTCTACTCCCGGCATGCCGCGCGCACGCGCCTCTCCCACCCCGCCCACTTCCCGCCCCAACACGTGACCTCTTTTGGCCTCCGCCACGCCCACTTCCGTTCCTCCACTTTCCCTTAGGAGGGAGGAGGGGGCGGAGGGTGTTACTGAGTAGCGACTTCCTCCTACTCCTCGCCCCCGCCCCTCTACCCCCTGCTACAATGTCTTCCGGGTCGCTAGAGCCCCATAGCCTTCTGGGAAACCGTCTCATTTCCTCCCCTCCCCCTCCTCCTGCCTTCAACCAACCAGCCTCCCATCAGTGAGGGACATGCGCAGTGAGTGCCTCCCGTCTCTTCTACCCGATCCCCCCCCCTCCCCCCCAAAGCAGAGAGACCCCAGCAGCAGCAGCAGCTGATGATGAAGAGAGAGGCAGTGGCAGAGGGGGGGCACCTTTTATTTCTATTTTTAAAGGGACAGGACACTAATTTTACCCCACTTCAACCTTGAATTGAGGGGGGGTGGGGGGAAGGCGGCTGAGTTCCTTCCCCCACCCTCCAGCCCTGAGACCTGAGAGGGGGATTGAGCCAGAGAGAGAAGGAGAAGGAGTTTCTTCTTCTTCGAAAACCCCCATCTACGACTCCTACCCCTTCACCCCTCCAGTAGCCTCCCTCCCGAGCCCCCTCCACCCTCCTCTTTGGCCGCGAGAGAGGAGAGAAAGAGACCAAAAGCCTCTTAGCAACACAGACCCTGCTCTGCTGCTGTTGCTGCTGCTGCTGCTGCTGCTACTGCTGCTGCTTGGCCCTGGCTGGAGACATCTCACTACACCCAGGAGCAGCCACTTCCCCAGCTCTCCTCCTCCGCCGCCGCCTCCTCCTCCTCCTCCACTCCCCCCTTTATTACCCTTTGTGTCATCCTCCACAGCTCCCGGGAAGGCACTCAAAAGTGGGGGGCAGGAAAGGTAAGTGTGTCTGTGGGGGCTTTATTGCCTTCCTCTGGCTCCGACTTTAACTCCGGGGCAACAGTAGCACCAAACCGTGTACGCAGTAAGGAGGGGTCGGAGTGGGGAGGGGTGTGCGAGGAGGGTGCCCATCCTGTCAGAGGAGGAAGGGCACTTTTGTGAATATTTGCTGTTGTCAAAAGTGGTTTCTCTCCTCCAGCTCACATCTGATTGTGTCTTGCTCCAGTGGGGGAGAATACAAAAACAACCCCCTCCTTCTCCCGGGGAGGCGCCAGGGAAAGGGGCAGAAAGAGGCACACTTTCTGGGTGTCACTTTGCAGGATTCGTGTGGAGGGCTGTGCTCCTGCGTCCCCGGGAGAAGCCCCGCTGCATTTGTTTCCGAGTGGGAAAATGTCGGGGTCTGGATTGTGTTGGAACTGCTGGTCCATGAGTGGACTTGAGTGTTTTCCCCTGCGTGGTTCTGTAGGTGATTTGGGTCTGGACTTCAGTGTTGGAGCAGACTTGTTTGGTTTTTGCTTTCTGGGTTACATTTTTTTCCTTTTTTCGTTTTGTCCGACATGCAGAGAAAATTTCAGATTTTTAGTTGATAGAGGCCTTTGGTTAGGTTTTGACTTGTATTATTGCTTTTTTTGGGGGGGGGGTTAAATGTTTGTTTCATGTATCAGCATATAAAGTTCAAAGCTTAAAATGCTTAAAGTTTAAATACCACTGGTCTGGTCTTTCCCCACATAAGATGAGAATGTAAGCTATTTCATAATTAATCTGGGTATTTTTTTCAGTCGTTGTAACTTGTATGAACAAGTAATCCCCATTGAAAACTTTATGTTGTTCTGGCTTCATGGAAGGCCAAACCTCTCCATCAATAGTTTGCTGGATTGGTACCACTTTCAGTTTTAACTGAATTATTTATTTACTGTTGTAAATTGAGACGAGTTTTTTCCCTCTTGGGGTACTGGAGCAAAATGCTCACTATATCTGAAGGGAGGCAGATTTCTAAAATATGTATTCATGACGCAAAAGAAATCATGAAGTTGTAGTTAGTATATTCATTGTAGTTAGATATAAATCGAAAGATGAAACTAGATTTAGGCTTACAGAGTAACAATCTTGATAGAAATCACTATTCTTACGTTTTTACATGGTATGTTCTTATGAATGGCTTTCAAAATCAGTGCTGCATTTTATTTCACAAATGCTAGAAAGTATGTTTATGATGTAGGCCTTTTATTAGGTCTTACATTGGAGAATGGTATTTTGTTTCATACATACATTTCTTTATGCTTTCCTTGAAGATGGATGCAACACATATTCTCTCTCTCTCTCTCTCTCTCTCTCTCTCTTTTTCTGTCTCTCTCTCACACCCTTTTTTGTTACTGTATTGGTATCTCTGATCCCATAATTTATGTCAGCAAAAAATATTTTTCTGTAAAGCAGCAATTTTGTGATCAGACTGGCAATATGAAAATAGCAATTTGATCAATTAGAAAGGATTGAAGAAAAAAATCTAGAAGGATGTTTGACATAAATATTTTAAAGACATGATAATACTTTTAATTTTTTATTATCTTGATGTTAAAGCCAAAACATAATGCTCTTATGTTTTAGTGACAGAAAAGCATTGCATATGTAGAAATTGGTTCTGTAAATTTTATCAACTGTGTGAAAAGCAGGCATTTACACACAGCAAAAAAAAAAAGCTGTGCAGCAGTAAACAATATGGTCTTATTTCTCTCCTTTCTGTTATAAATTTGAACAGTTTCTTACCTTTCTCTGAGGTGTAAATCGTGCTCTTAGCAGAAATCTGTGCCAAGTTCAAGTTTTTCTTTCAACATCAATACTATTCCAGATCCACCTCGGTTTTCTTGTTCTCCCTTTAATACCTTAGTAGCCTTAACATAAGAGATAGAAAGTAGAACTTAGTGAATAAATCAATTTTAAGTAAAGCGAATTATGTGGATAATTAGGGTGGTAGTTGCTCAGCTGAGTGAAAAATGTTCAGTCTTCAGCATAATACCTTTACTTATTTTGTTTCTGCTTTCCTTTGAAAACATTCCTTATTCTACCACCCCCAGGGTTCCCCTATGTGTTTTGAAGATTCCAGACTTCCTCTGGGTTGGATAATTATTTACAATTAGAAAACCTTTTTGTTTTAATTATGGCTTATTTTTTTAAGTATTAAGATATAATTTAGGATTGTAATTTTCAGCAAGGTGATATTTTGGAGGTCAGTTTATCCAGCTTTTCATTTTCCATATTGTTGAAGTTCAAGATCTTGAGGAACTTGCTCAGGGTTCCAAGATCTTTAAGTGGGCGGAACATGGACCAGAGAACCCAGGTCTCTTGACATTCACACTGATGTGCTACTTCATTTTCAAGTAGTTTAGTTGGTTAGAGTGTCATCCCAATACTGCAAGATTGTGGGTTGGATCCCTGGTGAGGGCACATACAATAGTCAACCAAAGAGTGCATAAATAAGTGGAACAACAAAATCGATATGTGTGTTTTTTCTCTATCTTTCTAAACTCCCTTCCTCTCTCTCAAAATCAACAAATAAAATTTAAATAAAGAAATGAGACTATAATCACAATTCTGTGTATAGCACTTAAGGGTTTTATATGGAGGCATATTCTTCTAAGAATATTAAGGTAAATAGCTTTAAAGTCATAAAGTCATAATTTTGTCCATTTATAATTTGTTGATTTTTTTTAAATAGGTGGATTATTACTATTTTGGGAATTATTTTCAGCTTCCCCTAGTGCTTATTTTCCCCCTGCACTTCCAATTAATCAGTAAATATCATTCTTACTCTTAGATTAAAGACCCATATATATAAGAAGAATGCATATTGTATTATAAATATTTGTGAGTCTTGGTCTATGAATTACTTAGAACTAACGATTTTTGACTTGTTAGCATTTATATCCCTTATCGCACGGTGTCTGGTGCACCATAGGCCCTACTGGTTGTTTGTCATAATTGATATTAGCGTTAGGCATATTTGAATCTCTTTATTCCATATATGGGATTCCTTCCCTTTCTCCTTTATCCTTTCCTCCTTGCTACAATTTCTTCAGCACCATGATTTTTTTTTTTTTTTTTTGGTAATCTTTACTGTGGCTCTCACTTTATTCCAGTGGCCAAGTTAAATCCTATTAACAATAATAGTACTCATAATAAGTAAAAACATATCCCCCTAATTCTTTTACAGGACACAATTTGACAAAAGTGATTTATTTTAAATAAGGGATGATAAAAAATTCCAATGAAAAACATACTAGCAAATGTTGAGGATACACTTAAATTTCATTTCACTGAGTGACTGGTATAGTAGGTTGTCAGAGTGATTAGGTGGCTTTTACCAGATCTTTAAAAACAACTGTTACTTAGGTGACATGTTTCCCTGACTTTGTTTTTTTGGTCCTTACCCAGACAATTATCAACTTTCCAGTTTTCTATGGATATGAAGATTTACTGCTAGTCATCAGTGGGACCCAATGAAGTCAGCCAGAAAACCTATATCCAACCTATGTACCTTTGCAAACTTGTCTGGATTTTGAATGTATGTGCAAAACACATTGTACTTAGCTATTATTCATTAAACATCACTTGAGTGTCTACTGTCTGTCAGGCACTGTGCTAGGCATCTGAGAAATAAGGATGGTCCCTACAGCTAATGTGAAGAGATATCATAATTGTATTCTAGAAGTGTTTTGGTCATATCTTTATTTTGATGTTTCTACCTAAGTACATTTTATATTAACTTAAATGGATACTGTTAGGTGGAAAAATGCATGTTTAAGAAAGATATTGCTGTATTTTATTAAAATAGAAAAATATAAAGTAAAATTTTCCACTTAATACTGTATTCTGGGGATTTCTATTCTGTATATAATTCACTAATTTTAGATCATGAAAATAGTTTATGTGGTTACCATTGCTAGTATTTATTGTTATATACTTTAATTTGAAGATGACCAGCACTGTTCCTTGAAGTATCTCTTAGTAAATTATTAACAAAAGATAAAAACCAAACTTTTTCAACTTAAACTTTTTTTCTCAAAAGTAACTTTTTCCTTTTTATATCTCATATTAACAGGTTATCTTTATCTTTCATGGTTACTTGGAAGACATTGTACGTTATCATTTTGAGCACTTAGTTATTTTCTATCATAGTTTAAGCTGACAGTATGACTTAATTATCATGGAGTAATTGTAGTATACACTATTTAGGAGTTTTGGAATTTTTAATGGGTACTAGATATGTTCCTCCAAGGTCCTCATAAGACACTTCCCAGTTCTTGTTCTAAATTAGTTGCAATTTTTAATCTTGGTTTTGTGATATTGTTTCTGTAACTTTAATAAAATGAGTTGAAAGTTTCTTAGCTGATTGGATGTTTCAAAAACAAAGAATACTGTCTCGGTTCCTGTCATGGCTTTCACGTGTAATTTTAAAGTATATTAGAGAGAAAAAGATTTCATGAATTTCCTTTGCCCTCTTAAGTATAACTTTTAGAATAATACTGATTCACAATTTAAAAGAAGGAGGAGCCCTAGCCAGTTTGGCTCACTGGATAGAGCGTTGGCCTGGGGACTGAAGAGTCCCGGGTTCGATTCCGGTCAAGGGCATGTACCTTGGTTGCAGCCACATCCCCATTAGGGGGTGTGCAGGAGGCAGCTGGTCGATGTTTCTCTCTCATCGATGTTCCTAACTCTCTATCCCTCTCCCTTCCTCTCTGTAAAAAATCAATAAAATATATTTTAAAAAAAATAAAAGAAGGAGGAATCCCCTGCTGGTACAGTATCTTGTGAAGGTAAATAGACTTTGAGAATCAATTCTGATCTCTTTCACATTCATTCTTAATTTTCTATTTTAGTAATAATCATAGTTATCATTTATTGTATGGGTCTAGTACTGTGATAAATTTACCAATCCCAGTCCTGGTGAACTTTGTAGCATTGTCCCCATGTTACAAACAAGGAAACCTACTCCTGACAAAACAGCATTGAGCATTTTATTAAATAGCAGCAAAATAGTAAGTAACAGTATATTCATGACATTTTCTAATCCAAAACAAAGTCACAATAAAGACTTTTTATCAGTCGCTAAGTATTCTGGGAAACATTAGTAAAATCATGGCCCCAGTAGCTTATTGACTGAGTGATGGAAAATTTCTAAAAGTTTTCAAGGACAGAAAGACAGACAAAAAACTCAATCCTTTATAAGGAGCATAGATGCAGACCATTGTGCAACTTGAAATAAAATATGCATAAAGTCATTCTTCTCTTTGTATGGCAAAAATGACACTTAGGCCTCCTACATATTAAACTTTCTTTATCTTGCATGGAATTACATTTAGCACTTTCCTATGCTAAATTGTTTGGAGGATCCAACAATTTGTGACCCAAAGAATATTTAGAGTAAAAATTTTTATATACCTCTGTTGATAGTGGAAAACCTAAACAAAGGAGAGTTTATATTGCCTAGTGCTTTGGTGTATATACATGTTCCTTCTGGACCCTCTATCTTGCAATATTTTCATAATTAATAAAATTAATAGGATTAAGTTTAGTGTGTCTTCTTGCCTACTGCTTCAAGTCTGAAATATTTTTAGTATTAGAATGGACAATTTGTTGGATTCTTAAAATGTCATTATTATGATATACTTCTTTAAAGCAGCACTTCATTAAAATACTTTTTGACCCAGTTGACCAGAGTTGATTTTTTACATCTTGCTTTTAGGAGAAAAGAGCAATTTTTAAAAAATTCTGTTTTATTAATCAAGTAACTTTCATATCCATCCTAAATAAATACACGTTTATCTTACATACTTAACATTGACTCTGTTATCCTATAAGTGTGATGGCAATGCATTAGGAACCATGGGATTTGGAACTATTTTTAAATGCTAAGGAACTATTCTATGTCATCTACTATACTTCAGAAAAGAAAGTTTATAACAAATGGTTTCTTGCTTTTAAGAACAATCTGAGTAATTGATGAGATAGAATAAGTTTATGGTCCCAAATAATTTCCTTAGATAATCTAAAGGTAATTTCAGTTAAAAGTAAAGATTCTAATTCGTCATCATTTCTGTTTGAAGTATTCTATATTATGTAAGGTTTCAGAAATCAGAAAGACTCAGTATAACTCTTCAGAGAAACAAGGTGAGAACTAGGCTTAACATATATTAAGGTATATCTTCTAATATAGCTGGACATAATGGAAAAGAAAATCACTAATGATACTCATACCTGTTGAAAAGCATATACTTCATTCAGAGTTGGATGTGACTAATTCTGATTTGAGTCCTTATTTTAGCTGATCTATATAACCTTTTCTTAGAGAACTTGTAATTAAATTCTATATCATTGAGTAATTTGTTAGGATATATTGTTTTAAAGGTCAAAAATGAGTTACATAAATTAGTTACCAACCTTGTAAGGGCAAAAAATCTTTGGACATACATGTTTCACTGAGTTCTTTGCCAACCAACCAAGATTCCATCATTGAGAGAAAAATTTCTGTGTGTTGCTAGGGTTATAACTTACATTCTTGTGCTGCCTTTTCTTTTCTTAATGTCTGTATATCAGAAGTTAGAAGCAGACCTAAGTTGTTTCTTAAGATTGACCAAGTGCTCAATTATATCTAGATTTAATCTTGTGTTCAAAGCTATTGTTTTCTATATACAACTTAAATCCAGAAGCTGACTTAATTTGTTGAGTGTTAATTAACTTAATACATATATTCTTAATGTTACTAGTACCTAAATATAATAATATAGGCTTTATATACATACACTTGCTGATGCTGGGGGAAGGAATTATTCTGATTCAACAAAAGAAAAGTATTGATTTTTAAATAGCTTCCTTGGGATATAATGATCTAAAAAGCAGCTGCTATGTAAGAGAAAAAAGGGTTTAGTTGGAAAATTAAATATAAAGTTTATCATTAATGCATATTAAGCAATATCAAAATATTTAAAAGTTAAATACAAATTCCAGTAATGACAGAAATTTAGAGCCTGTTTTTTGTTGTTCTTTTTTTACCATTATTCCAAAATCACTTTCCTTAGACATTTGTCACACAGGAGTTTATGCTGAAGGATTTCTTGGCCATTTTAGAGACTGTAATCTTGTTAAAAGGTTTGTTTATGCTTCCCATCTCTGTTCTGCTGATGGTATTAGAATGCTGGCCAGAGCCAGACATCTAACTGTTTATAACATTGAAACTTCAATTAAAGCTACAGTGTTCAGTTCACTAGATATCAGAAGACCCATACTAGCTACAAATATCACCAGTAATGCTGGCTTTCCATATCGTGCCACTCTTTATGAATACTTTTTTTTTTTTCCATTTAGGAGGTATTGACATTTAATTCTTTCATGGAAGTCTAAAAATGAAACTTATCTTCTATTAGAAATAGTACAGCATTTCCTAACTTTGGATAATAAAACCTAACAGCTTATATTATTGCATATCTTATTTAAATGGTCCCAGTTTAGTATTTTTAGGATTAGTAAATTCTATAGTAGATGTTAGTTTGCTATCCACCTGATATGACTTCTGTTTCTAGTTTGAAGAACATAGCAGAATGTTGCCTGTTAGAAAACAAATGTGATAGTCACATTACTCCAGTGTTTTTATATATAGAGAGACCCACATAATATAGATTTTAATTTAATCTTGCTTTTCTAACTGTTGCTCCTGTTGTCTGTGGTTTCTGTATACTAATATGTGGGTAAACTGTTTTAAAATTTTCTTTTTCTTTTTACAGATGTTAAGAATTCTTTAAAAATATTTCTTCCTTGGCTTCTCTTGATTTTCCTCATCAGCTTCTCTTGCACAATTTACCTCAGTGACTCAGAAAATGAATAGTGCGCATATTTTTAAAATTTTTCTAATTAGTAGAGAAATTTGCTCTATTATATTGCTTTTCCTTTTATAAAAAATAAGTTTAGTTTTTATTAATTTTAGACCTTGATTTACTAAATATATGTATTCTTTATATATACTACTATACATATATTTTTATTAGAATATGAGTTCATAGGGGGTTTAAACATTTTAAGAGATTTGAAAAATCATTGTAAATTGAATGAATACTTGCTAAAATGCTTTTCATTTTAATTAAGAAGAAACATTACAATGGAAAAATTTATATTATTCATTTTCTTAGTCACTGAAAGAAGTGCTCTGTTTACTTTGGAATGTTACAAAGATAGAAAATTAAGACATACTACCTATAGTATCTGAAGATGGGAATTGACAACCATCATGCAAAATTTAGATTTGCAGGCTAAAAACATAGAAAGATCTCTAAGACAAGCTAACTTGAAAAGAAGACAAAATAATATGCACAGTATGATCCCATTTATATATATATAAAAACACATACAGATAACATACAAATGTTAAGAATTCTTTAAAAAATTTCTTAAATATGTATTTAAATATATAAATTTGCATATATAATATAAACTTTATGTTACATGCAAATATATTTATGAAATAGAAATTGTATGAAATACAATGAGAAAAGGTGTGGACAATATGTACCA